ATGGGTTTGTTTGCTTGTTTGTTTGATTGTTTGATTGATTGTTTGATTGTTTGTTTGATTGATTGATTGATTGATTGATTGGTTGGTTGATTGATTGTTTGTTTGTTTGTTTGTGTGCTTGCTCTGGTTTTTTGATTGTCTGGTTGATTGTTTGGTGTTTGGCTTGTTGTGTGTTTGTGCGCTTGTTTGCTTGATTGATTGATTGATTGATTGATTGATTGATTGTTTCATTGGTTTTGTATGTTTGTTTAGTTTGTTTGTTTGTCTGTTTGTTTGTCTGTGTGTTGTTGTTTCGTGTTTTGTGTTTGTGTGTGTGCGATTGTGTTCTATTTTGCATTGTTGCTTGTTTGTTGGTTTGTTTGTGTGATTGTGCGTGTGTTTGTGTGATTGTGTGTGTGTGGTTGTGTGTGTGTTGTTTGCTTGCTTGCTTGCTTGCTTGCTTGCTTGCTTGCTTGCTTGCTTGCTTGCTTGCTTGCTTGCTTGCTTGCTTGCTTGCTTGCTTGCTTGCTTTGCTTGCTTGCTTGCTTTGCTTGCTTGCTTGCTTGGTTGGTTGGTTGGTTGGTTGGTTGGTTGTTTGATTTTGTTTCTTTGTTTCTTTTGCTATTTCTTTCTTTCTCGCTTCTTGGTTTGTATCTGCTTGCTTGATTGTTTTTTTGCTTGCTCTTGCTTGTTTGCTGGCTGCTTCTTGTTCGATTGATTGTTTGTTTGTTTGTTTGTTTGCTTGCTTGCTTGTTTGTTTGTTTGTTTTTGTTTTTGCGGGTTTTTTCTTGTTTGTTGTGTGTTTGCTTGTTTGCTTGTTTGCTTGCTTGCTTGCTTGCTTGCATTCTTGCTTGCTTGTTCGTTTGCTTGCTTGCTTGTTCGTTCGCTTGTTTGTTTGCTGCTGCGGTTGTTTGCTTGCTTGTGCGCTTGCTTGTTTGCTTCTTTGTGGTTTGTTTGCGCGCTTGTTGGTTCATCGGTTGGTCGGTGGGTCTGTTGGTCGGTCGGTTGGTTGGTCGGTCGGTTGATTGGTTTCTTGGTTGCTTGTTGGTTGCTTGCTTGCTTGCCTTCTTGCTTGCTGGCTTGTTGTTTGCTTGCGTCAGGTTGTTTGTTTATCTGTTTGTTTGTGTGCGCTTGCGGGTTTGCATAATTTGTTGTGCGTGTTTGTGCGGTTGGTGTTCCTTTGATTGTTTTGTGGTACGGTCGCTTGCTTGCACGCATGCTGGCTTGCTTGATGGTTGCTTGATGGTTGGTTGGTTGGTTGCTTGGTTGGTTGCTTGGTTGGTTGCTTGGTTTCTTGGTTGGTTGGATTTGTTGTTGTTGCGATGATTTGTTTGTCTCTGTCTTTGCCTGTCCCTGTCTCGGTCAAAAGCGCGACAGCTGTCTCCATACGAACTGTCATTCGTGACCGTACAATACACCGATCCTTTCTAGCAGTGCTTCAAGCGGCTCCCGCATGATTTGCTTTCCGAGAGGCGGAGAAGAAAAGTACCAGCCATGTCTGGAGGCTCTGCTGCGGAGAGCTGCCAGCTGATATCTGTGATGGCAGCCACTGCCAAAAAGCTGTCGAAGAAATTCCACACGCCTTGCATGCGACTGGCGATTGGATGTCGAGCGTAGAAACATGTCACCAGCAAACATCATCATTTCAAGCCAAGCATCGCTCTGATCCGCGCCAAAACTCGCAGCAGCCAAGGACGGCAAAGCGGATCAATATCTCGAGCACCAGGAAACCTGGTTGCTGCAAGAAGCATGCCGAAAGAAAGCACAAAGTGCAAGAAGGCACGAGGTCATCACCCGAGGGTGATCGCTTTCAGAATCGGACCTCTTCTTTTTGTTTGCTTTCTTGTCAAAGGGGATCGGGTCAAACTCATCGCCAGAGTTGGAGGAGAGTCATGAAAGGGATGAGCCTTCGCACCCCTCAGGTTGGGGCAAGATGGAATAAGATACTGGAGTCTCCATGACCCTTCAAAAATGGTAGGTCGTTACCCAACATCATGGGGTCATAAACGCCCATTTTAGGGTCAAATCCGGAGACTCCAGGAGCTGTGAAGGGAATCACATTAGGCCGCGGCCCAGCGGCCAGCGAAGGTCACGTCGATGTATATCCAACCATCCCAGCTATCGAAGTTGGGATCTGTCTGAAAGCCGATCACGATACCTCAGAGGGTGAAACGTGCCGTTCTTCTTTGTCATTAACACCTGGTTGGGCACCCAGAATAATGGGCAGGGGATCATCTGCGCACACAAATCTGGATCATCTGTACACACAGGCTTTCCTCACTTATTGCGCCATGCACTCTGGATCATCTGCGCACACAAGGTTTCTGTCATCTGGCTCATCTGTACACACACACACACACTTTTGGCAGGGTGGGGGGGTGGGGGGGTGGGGGGGGGGGATTGGTAAGCACACCCGCTCAAGTGCGCCCGCTCAGCACTGTGGGGGGGTGGGGGTGGTGGGCGGGAGGGGGGAATGGTAAGCACACCCGCTCAAGTGCACCCGCTCAGCGCTGTTTCCACGCATGCGGAAGAGTAGCCCGAAGGGGTGGGGGGTGGGTGGGGAGGCGGGGGAATGGTAAGCACATGCCTGCCACCTAATAAGCATACCCGCTCACGTGCAACAGATGGGGTGCGGTATTGGGGAAGGGTGGGGTGGGGGTGGGGGCTGGGGCGGGGCGGGGTGGGGCACACCCGCTCACGCGCGTCCGCCTAGCGCTGCATCCACGCTTACCACCTAATAAGCACACCCGCTCACGCGCGCCCGCCCAGCGCTGCACGCATGCCTGCCACCTGATAAGCACGCCCACTCACGTGCAACACATGCCTGCCGCCTTAATGAGCGCCTGCTCAGGGTGGGCTGGGCTGGGGTCAGGCTTTGGGGAGGTTGGGGTGGGGTGGGGCACACCCGCTCACACACGCCCGCTCAGCACTGCGCACATGCCTGCCACCTAGCAAGCGCACCCGCTCACGCGTAACAGATGGGGTGGGGTATTGGGGAGGGGGGGTGGGGTGGGGGTGGGGGTGGGGGTGGGGGTTGGGTCCGGGGTGGGGCACCTGCTCACGCGCGCTCGCGCAGCACTGCATTCACGCCTCCCACCTAAAAAGCGCACCCGCTCACGTGAACCGCACAGGAGACAACGGAACACAACATTTCCTATGTTCATACGACAGAAAGGCAAGGAAACATGCAGCTGTCAACGCCCCTGTCCCTTCTTGTGCATAGCAGTAAGCACTGCGTGTACAAACGATCCGGGGCAAAAAAGGCCCGCGTGCAGAGACGATCCGGTCCCGCGTGTACAGACGATCCGAATTCCGCGTGTACAGACGATGCACTGACCAGAATAATGGGGCCATGGACCATTTTGAAAGAGGCATGGAGACTCCAGCTAGATGTCCCTTCATTCTCGCAACCATCTCCTTGAGAGCTCTCTGTTTGGGTACGGCTGCACTGCTCGCTATGCGCCCGCAGCGGGGCGATCCGCAGGTTTGAGGTCGGCGAATCTGTTGCTATGGCCGGGAGCGCCAACACGCACCAAGCAGAGGCGTGGCGCTTCCCTCGACGCCCTCGCCCGATTTCGCGCTCGGCGCGCGGTCTCCGCGGCCACCGGTGCGTTGCTCGACATCATCTCTCACCGATTGAAAGCCCTGCCACCTGACCCGGCGGCTCAATTTGTCTGGCCAGTTTGCTGGGCGAATTGCCTTGACTCCCCATATTCTGCCAGTCGCTCAACTCCTGAAATCATAGACGTGGTCGACGCGAGTCTTGGGCTTGCGTCAACTTGCGCCAGGAGTGTTGGTGGGAATTGCAGACTCGTCAGGTGTAAGAACAGGGCCTGCTCTACGCGAGATTGAGATGTGACGCTACTCAGAAGAAAAGATGAGGTGGCGCGTATGCGTGGGTTGTGTCTCTATCAGCAGCTTCAAAAAGTTAAATTTAATGGGATGATATAAACTAACAGCACCAAAATATGGAGATCAAATTACAAACAGTACGGCTAATCTCTTCAAAACTCAGCAAAAGCAGTCTTAAGGAAGATCCAGGCAAGCTGAATATTCACAACTCGCAAGCCTGGGCAGCCTCAAGCCCCCACGAGCTTTGTTGCGAGAGGCGTGCGCGATGGGTACGAAATGTTCAATGGCGATGATGGCAGATTTGGGACATGTTCCTATTTTATTTTTTTGGGTCCCATATTTTGGGGGGGCTTCGGTTTCCTGTGGTTTCCCTCTAAACCAGCCTGTTTTCTCAAATGGCTATGGATTTTAATAAGAGACCCTTTGGTTCACATGATTTAGGTGGGGAGTCATGTCCACCCATCACTTTTGAGGTGGCTCCCCATTAAAATTCATGGCCAAATGGGTACCGAGCCTCGAACAAACACAGCCACCTTTTCCTTTTTTGGCGGTCGAATCCCGAGCGGCCATTCGCCACGATGAGGAGAGCAATGAAGGGCTCCAAGTACCTTAGCCAGCGACAGGCTGACAGGCTCCCCCGAAGCCTGGGTTGAATTGCAAGACCCTCAATATCATGTCGAAACCAAACAACTAGTAAAACTACAACATAGAAGCAAAACTATACTATAAGTTTAGCTCCTGCATTGATTTCCAGGGAATGAGAAGCCTTGCGTCTGACAATCTCGTTTCCTCGACACTAAAAACTCAAAACAACAACAAAAAAGAAAGAAACAGGGAAAGGTCATGCGCCGAGATGCATCAAGATGTGGATCGGCTCTGGTGGAGCCGCCAGGTCATTCAGCCGCACAAATGTAAGTTCAGCCACCAGTCCTCAGTGCAAATATGCGACTGACGAAGGCAACCCGAAGCTACGCCGACCCGAAGGCAACCCAACTGCAAGCTCAAAATGACCTCCACTGAAGGGGGGCAGGACCTCCACTGGAAGGTGTTGGACCTCAAAGAGGGGCCTTTTTGAGAACCCGACATGCTTAGGGAACTCTTTTTGCTTTTCTCCGGAAGATGCGGATTTGGCCATGGGTCAAAAGCCATATCGTACCCCCCGTGAACATCAACCAATCCAACCACTAAAATAGACTGAAATGGGTGGTGAATTCACCTACCCCAAAAATGGGATACCAACAGGGTTTTGACCCACGGCCATTTGACTTCAAGCGTGCGTCGGTTCGTATCACCCGCGAGGAGTACCTCCTTCATGGCCTTGAATTGCTTCAAGAGCTTTGGCCCGAAGATCCGCTTGTGAATCTTTCCTCAGCTCGCAACACTCGGGTGGAAAAAAACCACCACAGAAATTGGACCACCAAAAAACTCGGAAGGGCGCCCAGCTTACCGCTACCTCGAGTGAACATCTACCTAGAGTGAAAAAACAAAGTTTGACTTGCAGCGGCTTTTGCTGGTTTTCAGTCTACCTTGTACCTTAAAGAATAAAAGAAAGGTTGACTTGCAGGGGTTTCCCTGTTTTCAGTCTACCTTGGGGAGAGTGAGACTTGGCTTCTTCGCTCTCCGACCTCTCGCTTGCGACGTCGGGCCTTCCCGCGCGAGGAAGACCTCCATGATCGCCTGGACAGGCACCACCTGATGGCGTAGGTGTGCCCCCCGTCATGGTGAAACGTCTTGCTCCTGAGAAAAAAACACCATGAGTGGTTTTCTATCTTCATTGTTGAAAGCAAAATGAAAAAAAAAGACACCAAGGAGTGGTGTTTCTATCTTCATCGTTGAAAGCAAAATGAATCAAAAGACACCAAGGAGTGGTGTTTCTATCTTCATTGTTTAAAGCAAAATGAAAACAAGACACCAAGGAGTGGCGTTTCTATAATCATCGTTTAAAACAAAATGAATCAAAAGACACGTTGTGTTGTGGATTGAATGGACCACACCTTCACTTACAATATCGCGGCGACCAACCTTGTCCGCAAATTGTGAAGCTGTGCCATCTGTGCAAAGAAAACAGGCCTGGATCATGTTGCCTTCACGACTAACTGCCGCAAAAGACTTCACAACCCCAATTGGCGAAAGCTTGAAATGCGAGTCCCAGTCTGTCTTGTCTTGAACAAAAAAACCTTTGACCATGCGCCAGTGTTCAGTTTTCTGCCAGAATTAGGTTCCAAGCAGTTTCCCCCCTGCGGGAGCCAGCCATTCTTCTAGCCCCAACATCCTTGCGCAGGGCACAAGACAAGGCAGACAAAAACAACAAATAATAATAATAATAATAATAATAATAATAATAATAATAATAATAATAATAAAAGTGGTGGTGCGCTGTTACTGTGCTGGAAGATTAGTTCAAGTCACACTGACCTTGGACTCGAGGCTGGGCGCTAGGAGCCTACCGAGCCTACCCTCCTGGTTTCCCACGGAAATAATGCTGAGGATTAAGCAGAACCCCGGTTTATTCACAGGGTGTTCCACTCCAAAAGGGATAAATCGCCCTGAAAACCAGAATAACCACCCCATATTAATAAACAGGGGTTCTGCTTAATCTGGGGTCAACATTAAGGGCAAGCTTTGCCTGGCACTCGCGCGGACAGCCTAACAGGACTCCGCAACAGCCTAGCTGCATGGTTCCTCCGATCTATTTCTTCCATGAGGTTTGCCTGATGGATCTGAAGAAGCACGAGCTTTGTGGCGGCACGCTAAGAAAAGAGGTAGCGAATGCAACCAAACAAAAACAGCCTGGTAAACGGAAGCGAGGACAAACACCTCCGGCTTTTTGGGTGGTTTACTTTTGACCCATGCGAATTATATGAAAAAAAGGGGGGTCCCTGAGGCCCCTGGGAGCCAGAGCCGAGAGCTGAGAGCGCAAAACACCGGGCGTTTGCATTCGCCAAGTGCAGTCATAGACACATCGAAGTTGAGTGGTGCTTCCGGCGCCTTGAAGCCTCGGTTCCAGGTTCCAGGTGAATACAAATCAGGAGGAAAAAACAAATTTGTGGGTGGCCGGTCGCTTTTCAGCGACCGGACCCCCCCGCAAAAAAAGAAGAAGAACACATGGACTAATTTGGGTCCTCTTGGTTTCCCGTTCCCCAAAACGGGGTCATCAATTCGGCCACCAGACCTCCCCCCCAAAAAAAATTAGAGAAGGCGGACTCCCAGCAGCCCGGGCGGAAGGCCGCCGCTTTGCGGCGAGCCGCTCGCCTTGGAGTACTCGCGGTGCAGGTGCCCAGGGGAAGCCAGCTGCGGCCATGTCCAGGACTCGGCGGAAGGGCCAGGAGACCCAAGTCGGATATCAAATGGTCGGTATGTGGGAGGGAGACCACAAAGATTGGACCTTCACCTGGGAAAAGTCACTCATGGTGGTTTTGGGGCCAGGAAGAGTGATCAACCCCCACATACGGCTCCTGTAAAGCTAGGGCAACAAGTTCAGAAGCCCAAGACAAAACCCATCCAGTCATCTCTCCAACATTGAGCCATGGGCAGGCTCTTTGTCTCCAATGGCCCACTAGTCACACACTTGTGCAACGGCTCCCTTCAGCTTCCCTCCGATCGGTGGTTTGGATCGGTGGTTTGGTGGCTAAAGAGGGGCTTCCCATTTACCCTCTACCAGGGCTTCAAATCCTACCGATCCACCTTTCTCGGGGGCACCTGACTTATGGCTGGGCAGGAGTTGCGTACCAAACCCAAAAAGTATCCGCAAAAAAATATGGCTGTCCCTCCCAAGCCGCAAATGGGTTTGCCCTGGTAAGTCTGGAAACAAGGGCTAAAACCAGTGGTCCATATGGCGACTTAATTTTGACCCATACCCATACGAGAAAAACCCGTCGGACCTGGCGCCGTATCGACATATCCGCGGCACTGGCTCCAGGTCGCGCACATCGCCGGCAAACTTCAGGGAGAACAGGGACCCCGCGCTCCAGGAGTTGGATTTGTCCTCAAGGCAAACCCGATCGAAGATTTTGATTTCGGACACCTCAAACGAACGAACAAACCCGGGTCTCTGAGCACCGAGTTCGCGACCTTTAGGGAGTTTGGGGGTGGTCAAACAAAAAGGCACAGCAACAACCTGTGTGTGTGTGTGTGTGTGTGTGTGTGTGTGTCTGTGTTGGTACTGAACTGAGGGATCAAACCCTGAGCATGGGCGAACAAGGGGGTTCCTTTTGGTTTCCCTTTCACACAACACAAACAACACACTCGAATCGGTCTGGGAACAAAACGTGTTTCTGGTTTCAGGGCAAATCCGTGCGTGTAGCTTACTGTTCAATTGCAGCTTCAAAAAGCCGCTCCTTTTTAGGCTGGGGCGGAACGGTCTCCGGGCAAACGGGAGATGCGGAGTGGTCCAAGGTTTTGAGGGGGCTCTTGTTGTTCTGGTCTTCGGGAGATGGGACGTAGCTGAGTTGAGGCATAATCAATACCCGGCATGAAAACGATCGACCCAGAACCATGCAAAGAATTAAGAAGGCGGCCGCAGCTATTTGTGGTTGGGATTGTCCCTTACTAGCCTTCATCTAGCCGGGTTTCGATTGTGGCTCAGTCCAATTCCAACTTGCGGTGGCTCTAGGCCTCTGTTTTCACGGCTTCCCGAGTCCTGAACCCTTTTGCTTGTAAAACTCACGGAGCCAACAAATCCTGCTCCCGAAAAGAGACAAACACACGCTGGTGTCTTTCTGCTTTTAGGGGACCCCAGTAACATGCCATAGGGTCTCCCGTATGTTTACCAAGCTAAAACCATCCAAGGAAGCCCGAAAACATCGACCTCCCCGGCTTGGGGCCTTGCAACTCTCGTTGGAGGGAGCCTGACATGGCCCCTTTGGTTTCCCTTGAGAACCCCCAAGAATTGGGGGGGACCCTCAAAACCCAGTCGTTGGTTCGGGTACCCGAAAGAAAGACACCCAATTATTTTGCGCGCGCGCGCGGGGGCAGAACATGATCTCACTTGACTCGCAGCACCGACCCCCTCTTGCCACGTGTCGCTGGTGTCAAATTCGAGATTTACAAATGCGGCCAGATGGTTCACGAAGTCATTCATTTCATGCTCCTGCCGGCAATTGATCATTCGTGCAAACTTGCTGCTTGGCTGCTTGGCACGGTGACTCCAGTCTTCAATCAACCCCTTGCTGGTTTGGATTGGATTTGGATTTGCGCCCTGGTGCTTTTAGAGTTGAATGGGACACCTAACTTCCAAGCCAATCCAAACCACCAATTGGGTTTCTTTTCTAGGGGACCCCACAAAATCGCTTCGCGTGTCCTCTGGGTTTCTCGTTAAGATCCAAAAAAAACAGGTACCAACTCCAATGTCCTCTTTCGAGAGCTGAAGTCCGACCTTGCAGACAACAAACACCTGGGCGCTCAGATCCCCTACCAGTTTAAGTTGTGGGTTCACCGAGCCGGGGTTAAGCCCCGAGCCGGGGCTAGTAAAAAAAAAAAAAACACCGGTTCCCCCAGCCACTGGACACCAAAAATTGATCTCAAACGCGCTCCCTAAGCGATCCCCCGCTACTAAGCTAAGGAAGCGGATGCCTGGGATCGAGCCACCAACCCAAACAACGGTGGCATGGGACTCCTCCATTTGCGGATACGTCCCCTGGAAAAAATATTTTAAAAAAAATGTCCAGTACTGAAATTGTTTCCCTGTAAAACCAACAGGGGATGTGTTTTTGTTGGCTTTTTGTGTTTGTTTTTCTTTAAAACAAAGTCTTCGCCAAATTCCCTTTAAAACCGCCAGGGAGAAAAAAAACAAAACATTTCACCCAATGGCATGGAAAAAACAATCCTCGTAGCGAGTGAGGCCCAAGGAGACCATTGCGCCGTGCAAGGACTTCCCGGAGACCAGCTTGTTCTTGGTGACGTGGCCCAAACGGAGCCGGAGGCCTCCGCACGGGTTGGCGGCTCTAAAAACTCCTCAGCTCGTCCAATTTGGATCGGACGCCAGCGAGCCAGGTTTTTTTGTTTCGGCGAAGCAAACCGATTCACTCACACCGGTCGGTGTTTTTGTTACATTTGGGGTAATCTGATAAAATCGAAGGCCGAAAAAAACAAACGCATAGCGAAGTGGGACCACTTGTTTGAAGCTTCGGCGCTTCAAGTTGAAGCAGAAGTTTCTGGCTTCAATTAGATCTGACGCTCAACATCGGCAAACGACGGAACTCGCTCAAGATGTTGACCACGCACCACGAGGCACCCGACTTTCTTTGTTTTGCGGCCCAACGCAAGTTTCAACAGGCGCGATGCCACATGTTTTGCCCCAGTTGGATCGTGGAGTCTCGCCTTCGCCACTTGCATCCCTGCCCTCCCCACCCCCACTTGCGTCTTCGCGAGTTTTACCTTCAAATGTTGACTTCGCTGCCAGTTTTGTCTTGGGATGTTGTTTTCGTTCTCATGTTCATCTTCGCGGATTTCATCTTGAGTTTGATCTTGCCGCCGATCATCTTCACGTCCCAATCTCCACTAAAATAGACTAAACTAGGTGGTGCACCTACCCCAAAATGGTACCAAAACGGATTTGACCCACAGCCATGTTGGCCTTCCCGGATGTTGTCTTCAAAAAAATTGCGTCTTCGCCACCTTGTCGGTCTCAAAATTGGTCGACCCCCCAAATTTGCCTCGAGTTCGGGGATTCGAAGTCTTAAGCATCACCACCCCTCTCCCTAGAAAGTTCACCCTGTCATGTTGAAATGCAATGCAATGACATGAAATGAATGAAATGAAATGAAATGAAATGAAATGAAATGAAATGAAATGAAATGAAATGAAATGAAATTAATGATGCGCAATAGCCAGGCTGGGATGCCGGTGACTTCGCATCCAATGGAAGCCGGCCCGTTGCAGCCAAGTGTCGGTGCTTGATGGAGCGCTGCTCTACCTGCGCCCCGCTCCGAAAGCAGTCAGGTGGCAGTGGGTGTCAAAACCGTTGATACGATTTGGATTTTGACCCATGGCCAGGTGTTGCATTTGGGTCTCCAGACATCTCCCCCAACATGCGCAACCTTAGCCTTTCCCCACTCGCTCGGCCTGGCTCAGATCTTCAAGGTCAGAAAGCAAATAGGAGGAATCGCCTCACAGCTCATGCCGCGCCATGTGAGGTACTTCAGCCGACTGAATTTTGCATGTTGCGTTTCGGGAGCCGGAGATCGGGACCCAGGGGGTGCGGCAACGATTGCATCGACTGCAGCAAATATGAGGCTGGGCTCAGGGCCATGTGGAAGAGTGTCTTCTTCATCCGAATCCTCATTCCTGCCCTGAGCAACGTGAACTGGGGCTCAATGCATCTGACCGAAGGGCGTGAGTGCTCCAAAAGCGGAAGCGCGCTTGTCAGCTTGTCAGCTCGCCAAGACTGGCGCATCGTTACAACACGTTACAAGATCACACAAGCTTGGCTCGCAGGTTTGCTCTGTTCTTGCTGCTCTCCTCAGGAGAAACTTCTCGCTCGAGCTGCACTTCCGGGAAAATTGGATCCTTGCGAGGCGTGGCAAGAGACAGCGGCACAGAGCCAGCAAGCAAAGCATGCTTCATTATCATCTGCATCAGCCTGCTTGCTGATGTCTGGCCAGAAGAAAACCACACGTGAAAATTGGTGTCTGCCTGCCTGGCTGCCTGTTTTCTGCATTTGTGTTGCTCGTGGTCTCTTGCTTGTCAACTTGCTTCTTTATTCCTATCTTACCTCTTCCGTTCTTCTTTCTTGTTTCTTCAAAACGCTTATTTAAATTTCACTTTCGTGCTTCCCTAGATCTTGCTTCATTGCTCCCCATTAACGCATTGCTTTACATTACAAGCAGTCAGATGCACTAAATTCGAGCATAGTAGACGACGGTGGCCCGGAATCATAGAGAGCTAGCAAGTACGACAGTACGACCACACAGCGACGCTGAAACAAGGTGCGTAGCATATGGAGGCACCCCGAAAAACAAATTACATCCATCAAGCGGCTGGCCCTAAGAGCGGCTCCACAAGAGCGCATCCTCGTCAGCTCGTGACGGAGCCGCTCAGCTCGGCCCGGAGCTAGCCAGACCCCCGTACAACTGCTTCAGCCTGCAAACCCCCGGCGCCAGGAAGGCCATCCTCAGGCGGTGCAGCAGCTGAAGACGAAGTTGCCTGCTCTCTTGCAACCTAGTTCTCGTGCACGCGACTACTTTGGCCAAACAAAGCAGTTGCAACGGAACACGCGCAAACGAATATGCTTCCACGCTAGCAACAGAATTCTCACTCGCGCAAACACCTAAGGCAAAATCTCCAGGAAAGCGCACGCTTCCGGGCCACCCACAATATTGGCTGCAAATATTGATTTGAGTGGCAACGCTGTGAGTTGAAAGAGTTCACCGTCAACCTATCTATCTATCCATCGATCTGTTCGCCGTGTCTGCCGGAAAAAATAATTGCGCCTGCCATGAGAGCTGCCGCGCATGATGCTGTCGGCCTCTCTTGTCGATCCATATCTCTGCGCACCTTCGCTGCGCAAGGAGGCTGGCTGCTTTGGCTGTGGAAGTGTACTTCGCACACTGCTTTGCGCGTACAAGTTGGGACTTTTCGAGCTGCGCTCTGTCCGAATATTGCTTTTGCACTTAGAAGTTGCGATTCTGCAGCCGGACCTGACTTGAAACTGACGATTTTGCAGCTGGAGCTGCGCCAGTGCGCTTCGCGTACTACTTTTGCACTCAAAGCTTGCGAATTTCGAGCTGGAGCTGGAGCGCTCTTCGCGTGCCACTTTTTGCACACACAAATTGCAATTTTCGAGCCGGAGCTGCGTACATGCTCTTCGCGTGCTACTTCCGCGATTCAAAGTTGCGACTCGCGAGTAGGAGCTGCCGGGAATCGAGCTCGCGACCAAGCAATTGCAAAAGTAGGTGCGCCACAATGCAACGTCCAAAGACCATTTCACAAGCGACTAAAGTAAGACAATTAGCACAGCCTGCTCGCCCGGAGCTAATTCCCGTCTTCTCCGACCCCAATTCGCGTCAGTAGTTCTAGCTAAGTCGAAGCTTAGGCTGCTTGCCAGGTTCCTTTGGCCAGGGAACTCGGCAGGTAGCAACTTGAGTCTCGTGGTCTTTCCTCGATGTCAAGCTACCTGGAGTCTCCATGACCCTTAAAAAATGGGGTCAATACCCAAAATGATGGGCTCATGGACCCATGTTTTTAAGGGTCATGGAGAGCTACCCGCCGCCGAAATAGAAGTAACTGGAGGGAGAAGAAAAGGTACAAAATAAAAGTTAGCTTCTTGTTTTTTACGACAATAGGAAGTAACACGCGAAAAGTTAGTAGGAGAAGTTGGCAAGTGAAGTAATGGCAGGAGAAGTTGCCAGACGAAACACACCAAAAGTTGGCAGGAGAAGTTGGCAAGTGAAGTACCACCCAAAAGGTTGGTATGAGAAGTGGGACAAGCCCAGTCGGACTTTGGAAAGCGTGCCCGCAAGTTGGCAGGTGATAACTCTCGAACAGTTCGCAGGAGAGTTGGCAGGTGAAGCAGCACTCTGAAAGTTGGCAGGAGAAGTTAGCAGGTGAAATGGCGCGCGAAAAGTTGGCAAGGAGAAGTTGACAGGTGTTGTTTGCATCCGTTTTGTTAGAAGAAGAACCCTTCGCATGCTATTGAGATAAAATATGATGTTCGCGTGGCATTCTGTCCTTTCAAACCTTACAGGCTTCCTTTCTCCTTGGTCTTGATTTGCGTGTTCCTTGTGTTTGTCCCTTGCTGATTACTTTCTTTCATGTTTACCATCGGTCATTGGCGTCAGGCTGGCTACTGTTTAATGTCCGTCTTTACTAATTTCTTTTGTTTGTTCATTCTTTATTTCCTTCTTCCTCTCCATCTCTATTTCCTCCTTTGTATGCCTTTCCTTCTAGCTTGCTTTCTTTCTTTTCCTTCCTTTTCTTGTCTTTGAACTTCTCTTCTCTTGTCTTCTCTTCTCTTCTCCTATGTGCTTTTCTCTGCTCTGCTCTCCTCCTCTCCTCTCGTCTCTTCTCTTCTCTTCTTTTCTTGCTTGCTTGCTTTTTCTGTTGGTGTGTTCTGCGCTTTCTTGCAAGCTTTCTTGGTCTAGTTGTTTGCTTGTTGTTTGTTTTGTGTGTGTGTGTGCGTGTCGCAGTCGTCCAACAGCTTGTGTGCAATCCAGTGGATTGTTTACATCGCAGTTTGCCTCGAGCAGGCTCCTGTGCATTCAATGCTTTCCATTTCGAGGTAGCATCACATAGATGGTTTAATGCTTAAAATGTTTCACCACCCAACTCCGAAGTCCGTTTTCTTGAAATTGCTAACGCCACTCAAGTCCTCAATGGTTTCGTGGATCTCGTGGAAGCGCACAGAGCTTGTGCTCTCAAGCACAGCTCGATACTCAGATTCTTCGTCGGAGGGTCCTGGCCATCACTTTGTCAGCACACGATGAGTCTCATGTAGAACAAGCCGCTTGGGCGTGGGTCAAAAATAGAAATGGGAACCCCAAAATGGGTTGCGGTAAATGGAAACACGAACCAAAATTCCGGTCCGCTTCCTGGCTTCATTTCTTGACCCATACCCACAAGTGCGTGCACGCCCGCTCCAGCCACTGGACCACAATGCGGTCTGCTGCCTCTGAGTCTTTGCAGTTGCAGCTGCAACTCCTGTGACTAAGGGCGTCCGAAAGCCAAGCGATCGGGATCTGGGCGTTTCTTGAGTAACCCCCTTTTATAGGTTGGATTCAAGGAAAACCCATCATCATTTTAACAGCCCAACCAACAAAAAAGGACCCAGGAGCTTCCGGGGGTCTCCGCGGAATCTTCTCCTGAAGCCTTCTGCCCGGCTCGATCGCCTTTGGATTCGAGAAATGCTCCAAGAGGTGCTGGCGCAGAGCGTCCCTCGGGCGAATGGGGCGACAAAAAGACGATGGGGCCGCCATCCAGCATGGATCTCGCCTTCCTTTTCCCCCCCCTTTTTCCCTGACCCCCCCCCCTTTTCCCCTCCCTCCCCTCCCCCTACCACCCCTCTCTTACTTCTCACAAAGAAACAATGCCGTGGTCTTTTCAAAATGTGGCACTAGAATTCTGGAACTTTTCGGGCTTCTCTTGTGGCAATGTTCGACCAAAAAAGAGGACCCCTTTTGGGCCGCGGTGAGCAAAAAGCTGGAAAGGAAATCCAGACTCGCGGCCATGGTCCTCCCCTCAAGGCCGAAAAGCACATCACCCAAACATGTGGGCGTGCCCTTTTTGAGTGGACGCTTCTTTTTGGGCTTGGTTCAAAGGAAAACCAAAGGAGCTTGCCTTGGAGGGAGGGGGGGGTCCCCTAAAAGAAAGCCACCCCCGTGTGAGGAGCCATTGCGGAATGAGCCCGAGCGCAGAGAGGACTTTGGCGCTGCCAGCCGAGCTGCAATGACTGATCCAGGAAATTCGCGAAGTCCGGCGTTTCCATGGCCAGTTTCTCTTCCATGTGTGATGTAAAAGGATGGAAAAGGACCGGTCGTTACTGCGGGAATACAGAAAACCTCTGCAAGTCTGCCAAGGCATGACACGACCACAAGAAAAATCAACCTGCAGTCACTGCAGTTCTGCCACCAGTTATGGCGGCTGAAGAGCAAAAATCGCAGCAAAAACCAAGCTCTGAGGTGACTCGCAAGTGCAGCTGACTCAGACGCGGCAGCTTTGCCTTTGCTTACTGGATCTTCCTTGGATCCTTGAGTGCATCGCCTTCTTGATAAAGCAATGCTTAAACTGATGCAACTGGTAGCAGCTTTGCGCTCCTGGCAAGCTACGTTGCGAATGCTTGAAATATTCAAGCGCCTAGTCTGAACCCGTGCTCAGCATGGGCTGGACTGAGCCAAATGACTTAGGCTCCACTCCTGCAAAAATGCCATCAGTGAACACACAGGTGCCCAGCACGATGCTTGTTGCTTTTATCACTGTACTTGAAAGAGCGGGGTCACCTAGCCATGGCACAAAAAGAAAGGTGCTTCACAACTTTGCTTTGCAAAGTCGATCTCCCACATCCCGCTCACCATGCCCGTCTGCGAGTACAACAGCGAACACGTCTTGAAGTATGGGATCCAAACGATTCATGGCCCGTGTCTTAGGATCACATTCCGCGCCAAGATGTCTCGGCGGGATCACCACAGCCCCCGTCCGGGGCTCCATGCGAAAAATGTTGCTTCGCGCGTCTTCCCACTCACTCTTTGCGCGGCAACATCAAGGCCTTCGCAAGCCAAGCTATGCCAGAGTCCGAGAGCACGCACAAAAAACATGATGGCCCAAAACACCCCCAGTTCCGTGACATGCCGACGTGCAGCCAGTCGAGAGGCCTACGCCATCAACTCTTTTGTGCATGACGCCACTGCTTCTTATCATTCTCCCCCAAGGAGAAGACTTGCGGCCCGTTGCTTTCCGTGCCTGAAAGCTCAAGGTCAGTCACTTGATTCCAAAACACAACTTTGATTGCGAAAGCCCCTTTTTTGACTCGAAGGCCTTCTTTCTTATGTGGTTCTGTCACCTTTCCATCCTCAGCAAAAATGAATGCTGGGCTTGGCGACTCTTTTATGCAGCTGAGTTTTTCAAGCGCAGTCTCGGACTTGCCAGTACTCACAACACAAAATCCTGCCAACCTGGAAACGGCCAGCGAACTCAGGCCCACTCGTGTGACAACAAGGTGGGGTGGCCAAGCTCCTGAGATGAATCATGATGAATCGAAGCTGCCTGATGCCCACTCTCCCACTCGCTTTCAACTCAATCCTTGCCGGTTTCCATGTGGAAAACCTGCGGACCGCTCTGGGCACTTTGTACGCCCAGGCTTTGGGTGCCGCAACTCTCCGTGCCTGGCGTGCGCATCGCAGGTACCAAATGAATCAACCCCTGGACGTGGCCTGACTCTGCTCGCGAAGCCTGGCATCTGCGAACACACACGGGCGCATGCGCCGGAACAATCTGTTGAAGACCTTGTCGAGGGAGAAGAACTGGGGTCCTCCACTCTCGGTGCCTGGAGCCAACGATCCGGCTGGATGCAGCAAGAGGAGCACACGAGCCACGGGCAATATTCGCGCCAAGAAGCAAAGACTATGGTCTTGTAAGCTGATCAGTGTGACACATGTCATCCCTACGCCACATGATACTGAACAGAACATGCATTGAGGCACTCTGAGAAGTTATCTTCACCCAAAAGGGCCTTTGAAAGAGCACGTATTGAAATGGTTGGCTAACGTAGATAAGCCTTGAGACATGCCATATTGCAGTGGGATTGTAACTTTCCTGCTTGACAGAGATGTTCTCACTCTATCCCTTGTTCTCCACAGTGAACAAACAACATTGACTTTTGGTTCTACTAACATTTTTATCGAAGTTCATGTCCGCATTACTGCCACCGCGTTAAACCAGGTAGTCGACCGCTGGCCTTGACTTCGTTCGTCTGCCTTGGGCTTCGCTTGCACTTGCACCTGGACCTGCAGCTGCGCTCGTGGCTGCGTGAAGCCATTTTTTGCAGCGTCGCATGCATTCACGCACAAAACGCAGAGACCGAAATGCACATCTTCTCCGAAAGTTCACCGACCGACCGAGCGTTTAGGTTTGGTTTTGTTTGGGCAGAGCGCCTTTTTCACCCGAAAAGCAACCCTGGAGTTTTGGAGGAACATAAGTGTCGGCAAATAAGATCGAGACGGGGTTGCTCCAAATTGGGAACATGGCCGCGGTTTGTACTGCACACCTCTGTGTCAGCTCTTCGTGGCCTTGTGTTTTGACGTTGGGACGTTGTGTCGTGCCCTTGGAACGTCGCAGCGAGCTCAATTCGCCACTGATTGCTCGGGACGAATCGCCGTTTCTGTCCGCCTTGGCTATCTGCGCCTCGGCGTGTGTGGCTTCCAGGCTGATGTCCTGAGGACAGAAACGGCTTCGAGATGTGAAAAAGCTCAGTGAACAAAATCATGTTGACGTCGGATCGATAAACCCCTGTATTAGTATGGAGGTGTTCCCCTCCAAAAGTGACGAAACCCCCAAACCAGGGTTTATCAAGCCGGGGTCGACATTACCCTGCACGGGCAAGGGTGCCTTCTTTGCTATTGCTAAGAAATCAACTTCATCGAAATTCCCTGTCACATGGCCATGGGTCAAAATCCAAATCGTACCCCCAGTGAACCTCCCAATCCACACTAAAATAAAGCCTACAATGGGTGGTGAATTCACACAATCCAACCAAAATGGTTCATCCCAAAACGGTTTTGACCACCACAGCCACATGGCAAGACTCCCAGATTCCAGGCCTGCACACGTGCTTGGCAGCTGCGTGTCGCCTCCTTGGCCGCAGCCTTGGGGCAGATGTGTAAGATGTCGAAGGTGCTGGCGAAGTCCTCCCATTGCCTTGGTCCATCGAATGCGCAAAATGCGTCAACCGGACTATATATATATATACACCGCAAAAACGCGTCAATCGGACAAGATACATATATATATATATATATATACACTTCCTTTTGTGCTTTGCTTACAGCAGTAGCTCACTTATGCCAAGCTTGCCATCCGAAACGCGGCCGGTTCTTTTTTTTGAGGCGGCCTTCTTGGTTTGAAGAGACGCCAAATGGGAAACAACCCTTTGGGGGGCCCTTGCAATCCCTTTGAGACAAAGTCAGAGTTGCATCCAAAAGAGCCCGTCGTCCGCAAAGTACGGGCGCAACTGGGCGCGAACCTGAGCACAAAGCCCCGTGAAAAGCTTTCTCCCTTGATGGCACCTACCCAATACCCATGTCCAGAGAGTGATGCGCTAGATCAACTCAAAGGCCTCGGCATGTGGCAGCGAACCTCCGAACCTCCGAACCTCCGAACCTCCGAACCTCCGAACCTGGGCCCCGCCTCTGGATGCTTTGCCCAGATGGGGTGCTTGTCGGACCAGCGGCCGTTCCACTCCTCTTCGCAATGCATCGCGCACGCCAGTGGGGAACAGCCCGCTCATGTTGGTCCTAGTTTCATGTTGGTCTTTTGCAAAAAAAAATCTAGCCAAGTTATTTAGGTCCTGGGCAACCTGCCAAATCAAAGCAGTCAAACCTATGAAACATTTTCCGAGACCGGTGTAGAGCGAAGAACTGGGACCGAAACGAGAAACTAGGACCGAAACCGTCTGGGGCCGATTCCAGAAACTAGGACCAAACGATACCAACCGAGTAAACTAGGACCGAAACGATGCCGCGCCCAAACACGATCCAACAAGCCTTCGACCATGTCTCCTTCCTTTCCTAGGTCCTCCAGTAGAGAGGTTAGAAGAAGGGTACCAACTTTTTTCTGTAGTCTATTTTCAAAGGGCACTACTGGGGGATCTAGTTTCTGTCCCTTCCTGGCCCGACCTTTCGAAAGCTCCGCTTCTTCCGGCCTGTACCTTGCCCTCCACACGCGAAGGATGGCATCTGTCAACTGGCCATGGGAGATCCAAATCGTACCCCCAGTGAACCTCAACCAATCCCCAAAGCCTAAAATGGGTGGTGAATTCACCTACCAACCAAAACGGGATCCCAAACCAGTTTTGACAACCACAGCCAGTTGGTGCGTCCCTTCTTCCAGCAGTCAACGCAGTCTATTGTAGGGGGAACCCTCCCCCCCAAACATGGGATCCCATGGGTTTTGACCACCACAGCCAACCGGCTTTGACGCTCCTTGGATTTGCCCCAGGGGTTGCGCAGCATCAGCAAACGCAACTGCCCGCGCTGCGAAGGCACCTAAGACGACCATCTGCTTTCAGGCGAAGGCCGAACCTTATATATATATACACATGGTGTATATATATATATATATACATGGGGTATATATATATACAGTTGTGGTATATATGTAATATGTTGTATATATATATATACATGTATTGTATATATATATAGATAGATAGATAGATAGATAGATAGATAGATAGATAGATAGATAGATAGATAGATAGATAGATAGATAGATAGATAGATAGATAGATAGATAGATAGATAGATAGATAGATAGATAGATAGATAGATAGATAGATAGATAGATAGATAGATAGATAGATAGATAGATATATATATATATATATATATTGTATACCTATATATATATACATATATGTATACTTATACGTTGATACCACACGTGTATGTGCGTGTGCGGCTACAAATTGCCTCTGTTCGCCGCTAGCAAAAAGAAAGCCGCAAGAGATGCCGCATTCTGCCAAGATTCTTCCACGCAGAAGAGGAGGCTGTAGAGGTGTCCTTCCGCCAAGCCATCGGCCCGCTCGTCGTTGCCATCGACGGACACCCCCATGATGTGACTCCTCGGTTGCTTTCTGCTCCCCTGCTAAAAGTTTAACTTTTAGTGGTTTAATGGAACACCCACTAGTTGGCAAAAGGTTAAAGTCCTAACATCCAAGCAACATGCACCAAAGACTCCTCAGACCAAAGGACAGCTCTGACCAAAGGACAGCTGACAAACATCGACTCCGCAAGAGTCGAATATTCCCAATGGCCATTCACTCCGAAACAAAAAAAATGAGTGGCTGGGTTTCCCCTGAGGCAACCTACGATCCTTCCAAGGCGCTGCTGCTGATGCTTGCAAAGCACCGCCCACAGCTGATCGAGATCCGCCTGGCATATCTAGTTGCCGATAGCTGCAACAAGCAAAGGACCAAAATAAGATTGTCCTCAAATCTGCTCAAAGCTAAAAACTTTCAGTGGGTGAAATGGAAATCCCCCACTTTACCAAGCTAACGAAGCTCAGGGGATGGCTGGGAACCGCCACAAACCTGAGCAAAGCCCAAAACCCCGCCATCTCGCGCTTCGTGCAGCCGAAGCGGTTCAAATGCTCAACGGAAAGCTCGGCCCTTTGCCAGGTGAAGCCATCGCGATTCCAGGCGATGAGTTGCTCACAGCCTCGTCCCGCAAAACAATAAAAGACCCCGTGAAGGGAAGGACTCCATCCATCCCTCCAGAAGCTGAAATGGTTGGAATAGCGCGACTCGTGGAAAAAAACAATTGGAATATAACAAATAGACACAGGAAAAAAAAAAACACCGGCTTGTTCAGGCGAAACCTTGCCACCAAAATCTCATCGAAGCCTTGGGCACCGGATCGATCGGCTCCATTCTCGACAAAAGATTTGGGTAGTCAGTTTTTCCCCACCAGGATATGGACCGCAGATTGGGGTCAAACTGTTTCCACCATTTGGCTTGCCATTGTCCACTGACTTGTTTGTTTTTGGGCCCTTCTCCTTCTTTCCCCCTCTCCAATAAATCGCGTCGAACAGACACTGTGCGCTATCGCAAAGGCAAAGGGTTGCCATTTGGGATACCTATTTTGAGCCACTGCCATTTGCTGCTGGGATCCCGGCCAGTGATGGCGCGCCACACCGCCGCGGGCGCGGCCGTCTGCAGCATGGCGTAGCTGCCAAAAAGCTTCGCCAGCGCCTGCGCGCGGGGCGCGGCCCACCGCGTCCCCAAAGCACGGCCCTCTTGGGGGGGGGGGGACGCAAATAATTCAGGGATCCGGATGCGTTATACACCTGAACACTGCCCTGTAGATGGTGGTGTCCCTTTATTCTGGTGGAAAAAAAGCCATGCATGTTTCAAATGGCTGGGCAAAATGGTCACATCTTTTTTTCGGAGCCCTGCGCAACGAACTGGCCTTCTCCAGAAGAAGGCACCAGGGCCTTGGCGGTTTGAAACGCCATCTCAAGCTTCGCTTGCAACAGGTGCGTGCCTGATGCGCTGCAAGTAACTCTGGCTTCTCTACCAAAGAGCAGAAGAAACGGAGAAAGGGAGGAGAGAAAGAGAAGAGAGAAAGAGACAGAGAGATAAAGAGTGAAAGAGAGAAAGCGTGAAAGAGAGAAAGAGAGAGCGAGAGAGAGAGAAAAACCGAGACAGAGAGACAGAGAGCGAGAGAGTCACAGAGGGGCAGAGAGGCAGCTTCTCAGATTGGCGGAGAGACAAAGGACCAAGCCAAGCGTCGCATTGCCACGTGGCTGTGAAAAGATTGGCTCCGCAGTGTCCTCCCACCAATGTACAGGTGCCTGAGTGACTTCTTGACTTAGAATCAGCTTCTGTTACATGTCACAGTCTGGTTTTCGTGATGTGCACCGCTGAGATCTGCACACAAGGAATGTACTCGTCCACCAGAACATCCACTGCCTGTGCCGAACACTTGATCACACGTCACCTGCCTTCAACTTTTGCCCTTGGCTGCGTGCCTTCTTTTGCTTATGATCGAAGAGCTCCAAGGCATAGCGCCCGTCACCCGAGAAGTCGTCCAGCTTGAACACCTGCCCATGAAAACCACGTAGGTGCGTCTGCTTTGGTGGACCCCAAAAAAATGGTGGCTGTCGTTTTGGCGCCCCTGTAAATCAACCGCAAAAAGGCTACTTTCAAAAACACACCCACAGTTCGGACACTAGCTTGAGTTGCCTGAAAAGAGTAAATTCTACACTGATCCACCGGTGGCAATGATTCAAGAGGTTGCATGGACCATGTCCAGTGACAGGGCATGTCGTGGTACTTCTGTCTTCTTGCCCCAAACCGCTGTAGGCATTGAATGACTATCAGATTATCAATGTATCTGCCCGCCCCCCCTCCATCCCGCATTTTGGAGTTCAATTCCTAAGAAAGGAGGCTCAGGTGTAAATCTCAGAGCAGGCTTTTGCAAAAAGAGGAGATACGGCCAACTTTGTCTACAGAGTTCTGCATGTGCTTTGCCAGCAACTCGAATCAAAGTCTGGAAATGCATTTGCTGCAAACCCTTCAACGTTGAACACCTCTAAACCTTCCAACTTCGAGGGTTCAGCGCGGGCTTTGCCTCGCAACACAGCGGAGGTTTCGGGGCCACGTTCTGCCCCAACAAGCTCCAGGCCCACCGGGCCGGATGAAGCCGGTGAGGAAGGAGCGCGTCTTTTGCGGAGGCTACTCGTACCCTTCTTGCGTGTGTTCGTGCTTTTTATCGGGTGACCAAGATAAGAAGGGGCCACCTTGTGGGGTTCTTCAGTCTTCAGTTCGTCCTATTTTGGGGCTCTGATTTTGGTTCTAAAACACCAACTGGGCTCAGGTTCTGCGCTCGGCTCATTCATCGGCCTGGGAACTCTCTGTTTGCTCAGCGAATTGCGCAAGCGCCCACCTTGTGCAGGAGCCGCGGGCACTCTGCGAGCGCGGAAAAGGTGGCGAGCAGCGATCCACTGCCCATCAGCTTCGTGTCCTCATCGCCCAAAGTTGAGTGAGGCAAAGGCTGGGGGAACGCCTCAAAGAGGCCTTAATAAGGCTTGAAAAACGCCTCAAAAACGGAATGCATCAACGTGGCTGGGAAAAAATGGGTTCACACGCACATCTGCAATATTCAAGCACATCGACTGGTTGCAACCGATCAGGTTCTGAGCAAAAAAAAACATGAGGGTATTTATCCCCCCGCCCCCCCCCCCCCCCCAGAATTTCCGGCTGTCGTTTTTGGCTCCCCTTTAAACTTTAACACCCAACCACTTGGGACCCCACTTGCTGGTGCGATAGGTAGGGAATGTGAAACTAACCCAGGCTTTGGTCCCCTTGAAACAAACCACCAGTCGGATGGCTTATCTCGGGGTCGTCCCTGCCTATCGCACCAGCAAGACCAAACGGGCCCTGGATAGCCAAGTTGGCTGTTTCTTTTAGTCACTGAGGTAAAGTGGATGGGAAAAAGCGATGACATCACCTGGTGAGTAAGCTTATTGGACTATGCAATGAAGTTGAAGTTGATCCATTATATAAATTATATTCATTTAGCGCACATAGTAAATCATTCTTTAACTATAATATTAATAGATCGTCAAATAAATATAAATTCACATCGCAACTGGCGATCCAGGGCCCTTCCGTACGGACCCGGAAACAGTGTGGCTGTGGGTCAAAACCCAGGAAACCCCTGGAAAAAGAAGTCAAAATAGGTGGCAAATGGATGAACTCATCCACCCCAGAATGGCTCGCCATAGGTTATGCAACCCATGGCCATGTCTTCGTCCGCGTCGCCAGATCCAAGAGCCGGCGCTTCGTCAGGAGCCTCGCCGGCACCCACATGAGCTCCTCCACGCCCGAGGACGGGCAGTTTGGGCCATCGATGCTTGGCACCAGCCTGGAAAACTCGCTGGTGCGACACGCAATGAGAAATGGAATGACCCTTAGAAACCATCCAACTGGTGGTTTCCTTGGGGACCGAAGCCTGGGTTCATTCCAATTCGCATTCCCTACCTATCGCACCAGCAAGAAAAGGGTGGGTGGCTCGTCTTCTTTAAAGCTTTGGACCCCCCAAAATGGCGCGCAACGGTTTTCCCTTTTGGCTTCCCGTCAAAAAACACCAAGCAAAGCAAGCAACCTTCAAAGCACAAAAATAATAACTGAAGACTGCGAAAACCTTGTCTTGACCGGAAAGAAAACAGAAGGGCCCCTCATGGGGGGTGGGTTTTTAGAAAACCATCTCTTTCCAGACTCCGCCTGTGAGGGAAGTCGCGGTCACGGAAGAGACCCTTTTGGTCCCAGGCTGCGCTCCTTACGCCAATCGGATGCCGACGCTGATCACGGTGCTTGGAGGAAATCCATTTCGCGCCGCCTAAGGAATCCTGGAATTGATAAGTCCCCCATAAATTCCAACAAACAGTCGTTGCCCATGGCTTCAAAGTGGTGCGAACGGATTTCGTCCACCAGCAGCAGGATAGAACTCTCCGAAAGCACCGCGGATTCGATACATCGACCAGGCGACTCAACCTGCTTTCCAAGGATCTCAGTCTTCTCCGCGATCTCCTGCGAAACGAATTTCGCACATTCCCCCAATAATCGTTCCCCCGATTGGAGATCAAACGGATTTGGCAAATTCACCAAAAAAAATGTTCCCCGGTTGGAGCTCCATTCGCCACGCACTTCGGGATTCGAAATTCGGGTTGTCCCCGAATCCCGATCTCCTGGACACATGCGGCATCCCAAGTGCAGAGCTCCGGCGAAGCCGCATCCGTCAGCGAGCGGCAGGCGAAGCTCACCTGCGCTTCGCTGCAGACCTCAGCCACTCGAGCCACGCTCACCGAATCCGATTCGTCGGATTCGGATTCGAAGCCTTTGGTGAGAGTCAAGGCCTTCGAAAGACTGATGCACGGCGTGATCGTCGATTGCCGAGGCGCATCTTTGCCAAAAAACCACCTGGCATTGCAAGTCCCAATCAGAGTCTACGGGCAAGGGATTTGAGAGTCCCATTGCGGGGGGTTCCCTGTCATCATCAACAACCCCCAATGTTAATTGATGCCTCTGGAAAAAGGAGACAGCTTCATAAACTCACACCAACCCGAAACCCGAGTCACGCGCGTCCATGTCATTCACAACACTTTACTGTCGGGCCTGCTGAAGCCCGGATGATAGTAGATGTAGAACTCTATCAAACCTGAGCTTGCTTTCCAGCCACATTGCAACATGTGCAACATCATTGAGAGCTTTGGCCTGCACTTGTCGGGGCCCTTCGAATGCTAGGCCGGATCTCGCATGAGTCACGGCCGCTGCCGTTGCTGGCTTGAAGAGCGGTGTCTGCCCCTAGGTATGTCTGCCCAGTAGCCATCCGAGCAATCTCGCACAAAAAGAGGACGTCCTGCGTGTCTGCCTCGCTCAAGGTACCCACCATTCCACTGCCATTCCTCGGGCGAGTCAAAGGCACTCAAACAATCCTGCCACATGGCTGGTCCAGAACCATGGCAAACGGAACCAAGGGACTAAAACATGTGGTCTACATCCTGGTTAGATTTTGAGCCATTCGCCTGCCATGGCTCAGTTTTCTCATCCTTGGCGGCCTTGACAGCCAAACGGCGCCTGGAGGAAGTCGTAGGCTGTACAGGTTCCCTTGGACAGAGCTGACGCAAGTGCTGTGCCGATTGAAAAGCAACGCACATTCACGCAAATACAAACAAATAAGCACTGGAAGATGTTTTCACACGTGAAGGCGAACAAATTTCAAGGTCCCAGTCTCAGAGACGGTGTCTCCACTGCTGCGCCTACACATCGGCCACATTTCTTCAGGCCGTCCTGTGACTTCAATGCTCTGCGACTCGATCATGGGGTCTTTGTCTCCAGTCTGTTGCCTTTCTGTCGAAGCTTTGTGGCGTTTTCAGACTCGCAACCACCGTGACATATCCAGCAGTAAGCTGAGATCACGGGGGTGCAGCACGCAACAGCGACAGGACAAATTCTGAGAGCCCGCAGTTGCGGAAAAAAAAAAAAAAACCTGCGGGATCACGCGAATCTCCTGCTTGTACACCTCGCCGTTGATGAATGGCTTGCTACAGCAGCCGCACACGAAGCAGCTCATGCAGAAGCGCTGGCCCTGGGGGATCGCACGATTCCCGGTAAGCTGGACGGCAATGGTCTCAAGGGCTTTGACCATGCTCTTTTTTTTGTGTGCGTGTGGCTTTTTTTTTGGCGGTTTCTTGGATCGGTGCCAATGGTCTCAAAATTGTGTCCATGTATTGTGTGTGGTGTGTTGTTCAGTGCCATGGGCACTAGTTCGCAACGAGAGAACACTACAAAAAAGTTGGTGGCCATGAGCTTGGACCCAGAAAATTCCAAGCTCATTCCGTCCGTCCTCAAAGCGCATGGATTTGCCGTCAATGTCAAGGCCGCAGGCATCGCCTAGTCCAATCTCTCTCAGTGCTGTGCTCAACGAAAAAAATGGATTGCGAGCTCAAAAAAATGGCACGCCCAAGTGACAACCAGAACCAAGAGTCAAACAAAGCAGAACGTCCTCTCGCTCTGAAGCCCTTGCACTGGCATTCATTTTCAGCACAGCCCCACAATGCATGTGCGTGTGGGTCAAAACCAATGGTACCATTTTGGGGTAGGTGCACCACCCATTTTGGTCTATTTTAGTGGGGATTGGGATGTTCACTGGGGGTACGGGATTTTGACCCATGGCCATGTCACTTTACTCAGGCAAGCATCATTGATGTCCAAGACAGCCTTTGCACAGTAGACGGCCCGGATGTTCCTGAACAGGGCTGTCTCCCGATGTATCTGGTTCTTCCCATCTGGCCCTGGAACTGGCATCGGAAGGGCGCTGCAATCCAAGCGTCCCGAGTGGTGAAGGCGGAGGTCAGAAAGCACTTGCAGCTGGCGCAAACGAAGCACTTCTTGCACCAGGGTTGGCCTTCAAAGATGCCTGCGATCCCGGCAATCCGTGAGCTGGATGCTGCAGAAAATGACCATTTCCGCTACCAATGTGGACATGACTCTGGCGAGCGGGCCTCCGTCTTTCACCGGCGCTTGACATTGGCTGCATCGGTCCAAAGAGCAATTCTGGCAGAGCCGCTTGCCATCTTTCTTGTGCAAGCGCCTGAATCTGAGGTCACTGCAAATTTCTGGCCGTGGGTCAAAACCAATGGTACCATTTTGGGGCAGGTGAATTCACCACCCATTTTAATCTGTTTTAGTGGTTGGATTGGGTCCCGTTCACTGGGGGCTAACCGGGCTTTGGATTTTGACCCATGGCCATCTGGCAAATCAATCACATTCTGGCGAAGCAACGACCCCACGCGAGCTGTCAATTTACATCCCTTGGTCACCTTCACGGCTCCTGGACTGCAGGGCTTGATTTGACAAGAGATAGGACAGGACGCTGAGGAGATGCCTCAAGCTCATGAGATGTCATATGAGTCATAATCAAAACCCAGAATTAAAATGGTCTACCCAGAACCATGCTTCAAGAAATCAGAAGGCGGAGATCCGCAGCTGGCCCCTGGATTGCCCCTTGCGAACCTTCATCTACCCGGCTCAACGTCCACTTCGCGACACTGCAAGCCACAGCCAGGACTTGTTTCAAACCAGCTCAAGCTATCAAAGCACAAGACAAAAAAGGCTAGCTCCAAACTGTCTCGGGCTTGTGGCCTGTCACTGAGTGCAGAACGCGCCACAGGGATGAAGCCAAAAGAAAACTCTGAAGATATCCAGATATAGACCAGTGTGAATAAATATAGCTAGCGTCGGAAATACTTGCCTGGGGAGCACTCATTCCGACACCAGGACGTACCGTATCGCTTTTCATGTTGTGTCCTGTTTCGGCAATTTGAAGCTAACTCTAATATATATATATATGTGTAATATATGGTGCCATATGTATATATATATACAACATATGCATATACCGCGTGGTGATGCGAAAGGAAGTCAGATTGCTCCGTCACATTGCCGCGTGCTCGCCGGGGCACTGGACAGCAACCCCGCAGCTCTGGCAGGTCAGGCACTCGTGATGAAACACCTGGCCGTCGAAGCGCAAGTACCTGGGCTTCGACGTGTTCGTTCGTGGGCGAAACGCGCTCCGCGCTCGCGGAATCGAAGCGGCAGGGAAGGAGACATGGAATGACCCCCGAAATCAGCCGTCCAACAGTTGGCAGCCTGCAACACACCTGCCCTTCAAATTACAAGCGGCGGTGCAGCTGATTTGATAGGTCCAAAACAACTGGGATCATGCCTTACATTGACACAACGGGTGTGTTTTTCGGCTCAACTGGTGTTTTCCTGGGAACCCCTGGGTTGATGCCCACCTAATTACGTCATTCCCCATTCACGCCAGCAAGAACACACCCGCGGGTGAAACCCAGCTGAGAGAGCCACGCATCTTGGATGTCCCGCTTGCAAGAGCTGCACCACAAGGGCGCCATGGGAGGCCCAGTGGACAGCGCTGGTCGCCTGTCACTGAGATTGATCTAAACCAATCCTCGGCACCCTGAGCCGAGGATTGGCGCCAAATAGCACAGTAGAGGTCGCAGCACTTGGTCCACACGGGTGTGCTTCCAGAAGAGGATTTCGAGCAACCCCCCCGAGCTGGATGTTTAATGTTCCTTTATAGGGTTCTCTTTACGACCCACCAAAAAGGAGGGTACCAACTCCTAAAAAAAGGACGACCCCGCATGCAACATGCCGTGAATGGACGAAATCCATTTCGCACCACCTAAGAAACCCCTGAAATGATTCGATTCCCCAACGTAAATACCACAAACAATGGTTTCAACCATGGAATTATTAGGTGCGGCGAACGGATTTCCTCAGTGAGACCTTTCGGGACACTGCACCTTTTGACCTTTCAGGCTGGCGGCATGCAACGGCTCCAGGCTCGGTGAAAAACCGGATGCCCTGAGCAAAGGAAAGCCGAACTTGCCAGCGTCAAACGTGCAAGTGGCATAGCCCTGGGGTTCAGTTGCCACCAATAAGACAATGAGGATTCATATAACCATTGTTGACCTAAGGATTGTCATCACCCGATTTGGGTCAACCTTTCTTTTGATGGGGGTTGAACCCCAAGGATAGTCGGCCCTTGAATTTGCTGATGGGTCGAATATGCAAACCCACCTCTCCGCATTTGCGCATTTGCGTAATTGCGCAAGCACATCAAAAATGACAGAAACGATTAGAGCATCAAACCGAGGATCACTTTGCACACATCTGCATTGTCTAGCCCCTCCAAAGCACGGTCTAACATTGATGGGTTGAAGCTGCGCCCATGTATTCCATCCAAAATGCTGGAGCTGAAAAATGCAAGATTGTGTTCACTGTGAGTTGATAGCTCTACTTTCGGCAAACAAAAATATAACTCCCTGGATCGGCTTTGGCCTCTGAGCGTTGGAGGGTCAATTCAGTGCAGGTGGCAAGTCCATAGCGGATTGGTTACCCTTGCGGGATATTATCTGGCTCCATCTAAAGCATCTTGGCTGCTACAGAGCTGCTCCATCTGTAGCAGTCCAAGGGAAACAAAGCCTCCAAAAAGTCCTGACCTGCACGTACACCTATGGTACGTCGGGGAGCGGGAGGCAACAAAGATGTACCTGCCCTGCTGCCTTTGCAGGCGCAGGTACACAAAACGTCAAATTGAACGAGCAGTATGCGGAAGAAAGAAGCAACATATGGCAGGTCTCTATCCCAGGCCGGCTATTGAACCTCACAGCAGCTTCCCTTGCTCCTTAGATGGCAGTCCGCAAGATGGATGGATGACACTGTCGATTTGCAAAAAGCTTTCTCTTCGCACCAGGGCTGCTTGGCGCACCCAAGGTGTTGTACCATGTTCCAGGAGAGCAAGCTGACCGAAGATTCCCTGGGAGCAGCTGCCCGTGTGCCATCTGTTTAGGAGCCGTGAACGGCGTGAACTGTAGCTTTTGCTACTGGAACAAGCATGGCCATGGGTCAAAATCCAAAAAATGTTCCCCCGCTGAACGTCCCAATCCCCACTAAAATCAAGTTTAAAATGGGTGGTGAATTCACCTACCCCAAAATGGTATCATTGATTTTGACCCGCAGCCACATCCTGTCACATTCCCAGTTTGCGTTTCAGCGAATGGTCCTGAGTCCGGTCAAATCCCCATTTAGATCATGGGCACCCCAAAAACCATGTGACACAAAATGCATGCTCCAGCTGGAAGCCTTCGCCCCTCGCTGCCTTCCCTCGCCTTCCAGATGCAAAGCCCCAGCCACGCAGACTCGTTGGGCTGGTTCTTTTCCGCGCCAGGGCGGGCACCGGGCAGCGTTTTCGGTTAGATTCACATCTCCCTCTCTGTCAAGGAGGGAAGGGGTCAAGCATTGCCGGCCCCCACCACCCCTCCCAAAAAGAAGAAGAAATGAAAATGCAGCCCCAGCATCGGCTTCACGGTCACAGGAGTGACATCCACATCCACCTCGGAACTCGTCACTAATCCATGCATGCACAAATCAGACGCGAACCTCCTTGGCTGTCGTCTCCTCCCCTTCCATCCTGTGTGCAAGGCTCAAAACAAACTAAGTTGGCAACAGTGCAAAAGACATCTCAAGCATGAGTCGTCTTTGCTCTGCATGTCGCCACTGCCTTTTCCTCCTCGCCTGAATGGCATCAGACTCAAAGAACAACGAGAATCGCAGATGCGAGACTCGCAAATGTTTTGTTTTTGTGTTTTTTTGCGGGTACCTGCTTCTTCTTCTTTTCTTTTCTTTTGGGGGGGGGGGGGGGGGGGGGGGGGGTAAATGCAAACCACAAGGAACAGAGGTCAACCAAAGAAAGGCGAGCCAGCGATATAAACCCTGTTGAAAGTCAGGGCCTCGTCTTCCTCTTGAAGCTTCCGTGCCTCCTGCGTCGAGCACGTCAAGAACACCCATGAGGGTGTAGCTCTTGTTGGAGTTGGTACCCCGTTTCCGACGTTGGCAAATTAAAGAGCTAGGGTTACGCAGGTTTTGGTCCATGTTTCCACTTACCAGGGTTCCATTTTGGTACCGGTTTCTTGAGCCATGCCCATTTATTTACTTGCTGTCCTTGTTCTCTCCTTTTGTTTTCTTTTGGGGGGGGCCGTGAACCACTCCCAATTTTGATTTTCCGTGGCCTCTTCCTTGGCATCGCGGCGCTTCTGCTCCAGCTCCGCCGCCAGTGCCTTGCCCTCAGAGAAAGAAAAGAACGACCCATCGACTCGACTCGAACTGTTCGGGTGTGTCTTCCTTTTTAGGTTGGACGCAAAAAACAAAAAGTGTCTCCCTTTGCCTCTCAAGAAAACAAGTCTCGACTTGTTTCCCTTTTGGCTCCCTCTCACCCGCCCCCCCGCCCCACAAAAAAACAACAACCACCCAAAGAACGAGAGAAGCCGTCCCAGCGAGGAAGAAAGAAGAAAAAAAGAAGATCCGCCGCCTCCGCGCTGAAGTCCACGCACTGATCCCAGTTCCCAAAGGCCTCGCCGCATGAAGCCGCCTTCGCACGCGCCGCTCGAGGCGGAACTCCGCCTCGCAGGAGGGCGGCTCCCCGGTGACCTGCTCCGAATCCTGGCGACGGAAGGCGGACAAAAGACGCCCTTGACGGAGATTTCGAGCTGGAATCTGAAGAAGAAAAACAACAAGACACGAATATCTCACAAACACTTTGGTATTTCGGACACGAAGATTTTCAAATGGTTGTTTCGGGTTCCAGCGGCTGTTCAAAAATGGCTCATTCGTCCATCACCCTCGCTTTTTAGGCCAGATCAAAAAGGCGCGGTCTAGTCACAAACTTTAGTGTTTCGGAAACAAAACCACATTTGCAAACGGTTGTTTCAGGTTCCCGGGCAAGGCGTGGCTGTTCAAACTTCGTCCATTACCCTTGCTGGCCAGTTTCAGGCACTGTCGCGTGAGCTCACCCGCCTCGATCTGTGTGAAGTTGTCCATGGGGTTGGTCAACTGCGCAGGCGAAACACCAAACAACTCCCCCGCTGTCCCTGGGACAAACAAGGGGGACAATGTGGCCGTGGGTCAAAACCCAGGAAACACCTGGAAAAAACATCCAAAATGGGTGGCAACTAGACGTTCATCCACCCCAAGATGGGATCGCCATAGGGTATGCAACCCATGGCCGTATCTCCCGTTGCCTGTGGCACAAAGGGTGGTGTCAGGTTGCCGGACTCCACGTCAGTCCAGTTGAGGGGCCTTGGCCACAGCTGCGAGTTTCGCAGGATGGATCACAAGCTCCGGTCATGGGATGATTGCTTGCAACAACCGCCACAAAAAAGAAGAGACGAGTTGTTTTTCACGTGGGAAAAAAGAAAACGAAAGGAACAAAAACTGTGGCCGAGGGGAAAAGAAGACGAAAGGAAAAAAGCTGTGGCCGGGGGCCCGAAACGGAACATGGATTAACCCCCCGTGTAAAAAAAAAGCCGTAGCATCTATTCCTCAGCGCGGCTGAGCCGGGGACTTGAAAAATGCGTGGCCTTTGATGGTCCAGCTGTCCTCAGTGAAGGACCAAAGGCCCCTCGTCTACACGAGGGGTCCAGCTTTTCGACTCCAGGTAGACTTAAACAGGGATCCTTACATTATACACCTGAACATTGACTGTTAAATGGTGGCTTCCCTTGATTTTGGTGGAAAAAGCCATGTTTCAATTGGGCAAAATGTATCTTTTAAGGAGCCCTGTTAAACCAAGGGGGAAATTGACCCAAAAGTGGGACCCTTGGGTTCAGTCTGGGGTCAACAAGTGGAACCTGGGGTCCACATGTCCCCAGACCCGTCAAAAAGCAGCACAGACTCCGCTCGCGAGTAGATTCCTTTTCCGCATTCCCCGCCCTTGGGGCGAAAAAGATGGAGTGTCCGAGCCCCGGCGATGTGCCTGATGCTTGCCGAAGGATGAACATGCGTCTCAGTGAGGTTACTCGCCGGGAAAACCTTCGGCCATGTGTTTCTTTTTTCGGCTTGACGCCCACAGGTAGTTCATGAACTTGCAGTCTGACTTTGTTCATTTTTTGAGCAAGCCCAAAGGCGCATCTCATCTTTGGTCTCTCCGTTGGGGGAGACTTGGGAACTCCCGGTGAGAAGACTCTGAGTTCTTTGTACAGGTCGCTTTGTGTCAAGGTGGACGAGCTCTGGCCTGCCGCTACCCTGCATGCCAACCTGGAAATAGCGGCTGCTCCAAGGCAGTCGACCACCCGAGCTCTCTGGGGCTCTCGAGGGTTCTCTGGAGGCCGCACAAATCCTTCAGCGCGCAGTCATTGCTTTCGACCTCAGAGCAGTCGCACTGTTGGCTTTGCTCCCCATCTGCCAGAGGAATGAGAGCAACAACTAGCAGTGAACAGTCAGCTGTTTAGGTAACTCCAGATACCTGGAGTCTCCTTCTGACCCCTTAAAAATGGGTCCATGACCAACCACTCTTTTGGGTGACCAACCATTTTTGCTTCGGGTCATGGAGCCCAGGTTTGATCGAACCCCCATGCTGGACCATGAGACCACACGGCTCGAGTGACGTTCGACTGGGCTCGTGGGCTCCGTCTCAGTTTGTCGAAACTCCTGGCCACGGCCGATCGCTCACGCGCCTCACAACCGAGGCCGCTGGCGAAGGCTTGCGGACTCAACGCATTCGACGAGGTAAGATGAGTCATAATCAAAACTGGTCTACCCTGAATCATGCAAAGAATCTTAAAGAAGTAAAAAGGCGGCTGCACCCATTTCATGGCAAGGGGGCTTTCCCTCACTAACCTTCTACCCGGGTTTTGATGTCTCAGTCGCGTTCGCGCGCCTGTCTGGCGCTCAAGACCTTATCGAGGCGAACCTTGTTGAACTGGCGCTCGACCTTCGGTCAGCCATTGCCCTCCATTTCTGTGTCTTGAGTTTCTAACCCCAAAAATATGGGTGTGGGTCATAAACCTAGTCACCACCAGGATATGGACCGCAGGACTTCTAGTTGTTCCATTTACCAGGGCAACCCATTCTGGGTCCATTATTGACCCACACCCATATGGCCTTTCCTCTGGTTTCCCTGCCCAGCCCCAAAGAAGGTACCCACAAAAAAAGACTCTGCAGACCTATGTGCGCCATCGGCTGGCCACATGCGTGCCTCGTTCATCTTGTCGCGGGCAAGGCGTGGAGGAATCTCCTCTTCCCTGACAACTGGAGCGAATCGCAGGGTATCAGTCATTGCAATATTGCAGATTGCCTGTCCAAGCCTTGGTATGGTCCGGTATGGCAGCCAAAAAAGGCTTTGTTTGTTGCAGCTCCCTGCTACAAAATGCACAGAACACTGGCTGTGGGTCAAAAATAGGTACCCAAAATGGGTTGCCCTGGTAAATGGAACCAAGGGACTAAAACCTGCGGTCCAATTCCTGGTGGTTTAAGTTTGACCCATACCCAAATCTGATCTAAGCGAGCCAGGTGTGCTTCAAGCGGATCTGTTCCCGAAGCTTCTCCGCATTGGCCTGTCGCTGAGATTTGTTTTTGAGTTAGGGACTTGGTGGAGAGCGTTTGGGTGGTTGTTTTTCTAGGGGACCTGGCTTTCCGGTTGGGTTTCCCTGTTTTTGTTTTGATTTTTTTTTCTATTGGACCTGGCTTTCCGGTTGGGTTGCCCTCTAAAGCCATCCCAAAAGGGTACCCTCAACAAAAAGGAACGACGTCCGTTTAGGATTGACGTCCTCCCACTTTCGAGGAGCTTCATGGATTCCCCATTGAAACTCATTCGAGTGAATCCGCCAAAAAAAACTGAAACCGAAAAGCTGCGAACTCCTCCTCCGATTCGATTCGATTCGATTCGATTCGATTCGCCTGGCGAGCGCGGCGCTTGGCCTCCTCCTTCACCTAGCCGACGCGTCGACAGCGAGCGCGAGGCGCACGGCTCGGAGCCGGCGCCTGCTCCCGCGCTGCCAGGGCCGCGTCCTGGGCCTTGAGGCTCTCGAGCATCCTGGCGCGAAACATGGGGCGACACCTATGCTCTCGAGGCATGTGTATGTGTGCAAGTGTGTGCGTGTGTGTGTGTGTGTGTGTCATAGTTCACAAGTTCTCAGTTGGAGCAATATGTTGGGGAGCCGCAAACTGGCTTCGGTTTCCCGTTGGCTTGCATTTTAAACCGCACAGACGAAGCCCCCTCAAAAACAAAGAAACCCGCTAGCCACGTGTGCGCTGCGCGGATCTGCTAATGCCATGCCGGAGACTGCCGCAGTTCTTCTTCTCGGGCAAGCTGCTTCCTGTGCTGACGTTCCTCGCAAAAAAAGAGGAGGGAGAAAAAAAGAAAAGAAGAACAAAGAAGAAAAGAAACGAGCCAGGCTTGCATGACACATTTGTACCAGCTTCAGGGCCTTTGCTGCCTCCGCCCTATCCCGGCTACCCCTGGAGCCAGAGCTTCACAGTCCTGGAGCTGCATGCGAATGTACTCGTGGCTTGCTTTCCTCAGCGCCCATGGGTCTATATTTATGTAGGGCCTAGGCTAATAGCATTTTATAGCGCAAAAACCGCTCAAAACCGCCCATGGTCGACAGGTGAGATGCATCTGTGGCCTGCACTTTGGGTGTACACCACCGTTTTTGGAGTTGGTACCCCCTTTCTGTGGTGTTACAGGGAAACTAAAAGGAACACCACCGTTTTTGGTGATTTGTTTTTTTTTGGGGGGGAGTCCCCTAATTAAAAGAGACACGCCCATGTCAGCGAGATGTACGTTGAGTGTTTGCAGGTGCTCTTGAGGGCGTGGCTTCAGCTCCTTCATTCTCGTCTCACGGGTCTCAATCTGCTGTCTTTCCTGGCCACTCGAACGCGGAGCGACTCGGCGACTCAGCGACTCGGCGACTCAGCGACTGGGTCGCTGACCTTCTCTTCCGCCATCTGCTGATATCTCTTGGCACCTGCTCAAAGCCCCGCGCAAGCCGAGGGCGACACGTCTTTGCTTCAGCCCTGAGCGGCCGACGTTCCTCGTCCTCCCGCTCCTTGCGCTCCATTTCGTTGCCCACGCCCGCGGCGTACCTGACTCCGCATCTGTCTATGTCTCTTTTTAGGGGACCACCCCCCCCAATGGTTGTGCTCCACTTGGCTTCACTTTAAACCAACCCCCAAAAGGGTACCGTCAAAAACAGACGCACCCAGCTAGAAATCCCTGCTGCGAACCATGCCAAAGTCCCGGGAAAACTCAGGTCTACATGCAAAAAAAAAGCGGTGCAATGTCTTGGCGCACGCGGCCGACATCTGTTGCTGCTTGTCTTTCAATTGCCTCAAAAGCACTGCTTACACCAAGAGTCCATCATGAGTCCCATGCGAACAGCCCGATCTCGCAAATGGCATCTCCGGGGTGCTCTCTGAAGTTCCTAAATCCCGTGCTGGCCTTGCCGGTGCGATAGGCAGGGAATGAGAAATGGAATGACCCTTACAAACCGTCCAACTGGTGGTTTCCTTTCAGGGGACCACAGCCTGGGTTCATTCCGATTGCTCGTCTTTTCTTAAGGTTTGGACTCCAAACCTAAATGAGGGCGTTCTTTTGGTTTCCCTTTCCCCCCTCAGAAAAAAAAAGGCACCCCAAAAAAAGGCTACCTGAAGAGTGCAAACCTTGTTTGGACCGGAAAGAAAACCATCCCTCTCCAGACAGCCCCCCAAAAAGTGGTGCCTCCGCCGCGTGACGCGACAAATTTCAGTTGCGACTGCTGGGTCCTTCTGGGTCCAGAGCTGAAACCAGGCAGCACGCTGTGCCTCCTGCTTCTCCAGGAGGGCCTGGGGTGTGGCTCCGTGTTTGGGGGAAGGTTTTTTGGTTGTTTGGGCTGTTTTTTTAGGTTCCTTGGGGGTACCCCTCTTTTTCAATTACACACCCACATGCAATTTGGATCTCGCAGCACCTACGTCGGGCAGCCCCTCAGCCCGTCAGCTCGTCAGCCTGTTGCTTCTGCGCCATGAGGATGTCCATCTTGAACTGCGCAGGCTCACGCGAGAAGGGGAGGCATGTGGCCATGGGTTTCATAACCTATGGCGCTCGCCATTTTGGGGTGGATGAACATCCATGGCTCCATTTTGGGGTGGATTGTCACATCCATTTGCCACCCATTTTGACGTGTTGTTTTTTTCCAGGGGTTTCCTGAGTTTTGACCCACAGCCGTGTCATTTCGACTGGTTTGACCTGCCCTAGTAAAAAACGGCAAAGGTGCAGAAATATCTGCCTTCAGCAAAAGGCGGCAAACAGCATTGTCGGCAAAACATTGATTTGCAGTGCCCCTTGCGCACATCCAAGTGTAGGCTTTTGATCTGCGAGTCAAAAGGCCAACTGCATAACTGCCAACATGTGGCCATGGGTCAAAATCCCGTACCCCCAGTGAACATCCGAATCCCCACTAAAATAGACTAAAATGTGTGGTGCACCTACCCCAAAATGGGATCCGATTGGTTTTCACCTGTCCCTTTTTCGGCAGCGCTTGCCATCCTAAGCCCGTGGGGAGCTTTCAAGAAGCTCTGGTGAGCTCTCTCGAGAGCTGAGGTCTTTGCAGCTCTCAGCTCAG